GATGGAGGCATTAAAAACCGCCATTCATATTCTTAATCAAGTGCCAAGCAAATCGGTGTCCAAAACACCGTATGAGTTGTGGATAGAAAAGAAACCCTCACTTAACTATTTACGTGTGTGGGGTTGTCCAGCTGAGGAAAAAGTCTTTAACCCAAACATAGAGAAGCTAGACTCTAAGACAGTCAGTTGTCATTTCATTGGCTATCCAGAAAAAAGTTACCGCTTCTATTGTCCTGACAGACAAATAAAGTTTGTAAAAACAAGACATGCTGTATTCTTGGAGGATGATATGATAAGGGGGGCAGGGTAGCACGAGAAAATAATTTAAAGAGAAGCGGGTATACGTGCCCACTCTGATGGTTTAGGAACCATTCTTTACGCTACCTGTTATTGATATACCAATAGTGCAAGACACTGTAGTAACAGCACCTGTTGTTAGTTCTCCCGTGGTAATAATGAATAAACATGAGGAACATGTCGTTCAGGATCCCATAGAACCCGTTGTCACACATGAGGAACAGCAACAACAACCTCATATAGAACAAGCGTCATCTAATAAGGCCCCTAGAAGGTCTTAAAGAGTCAGGAGATCAGCCATTCCTGAAGATTACGAAGTCTATAAATGTGAGAAATTTCAAATGGAGGGTGATCCCACCTCATTTGAAGAAGCCATGAAAAACGCTCACTCATCAAAGTGGCTTGAAGCCATGGAAGATGAAATGAAATCAATGAAAACCAACGGTGTTTGGTGAAAGGATCAAGATGCTCAAAGGGGGGGTGAATTGAGCTAATTATAAATTTTTGCAATAATTAAGCCCTACACTTAGCCTATTTTACCCCTTATGTCTAGAATGTGTTTCTATTACTCTCCCATACAAAAGTTTTGCACCCTAAATTTCAATCCTACTCTAGCATGATAATTCTAGGTATATAAAGACATGAAATGAGTTGCTCAAATATAAATGCTCAAAATAAAAAGAGGAAAAGGAACACGATGTGGTTTTTCGAGGTATCGGAGAGTTGCCACTCCCAACAAGTCCTCGTTGGAGCACCCGCACAAGGGTGTAGCTCCCCCTTGATCCACGCAAAGATCAAGTGCTCTCTATGGATAAATTCTTTGATACTCCATCATGGTGAATCGCCCACAACCGCTCACAACATAACTTGGGTCATCCACAAGCTCCATCGGATGATCACCAAGCTCCTAACCACCAAACTGTCTAGGTGATGGCGATCACCAAGAGTAACAAGCACAAACTCTCACTTGATCAAGACAAGTCTAATGAAAAAGGTGGATGCACACTTGCTAGTCTCTATGCACTAATGAGGTCCTTAATCTTGGATTATTAAATCTCAATCACCCATTAGGCTCTTGCTCTCCCCTTACACTTCTAAAGGTGTTTGTCAGCTGAACAAATGGGTAAGAGTACTCAAATGGACGAGTGGGATATATATTTATACTCCCCATTCAAAACATAATGGTTCAAATCCAACTCAGCAAGTATCGAGATGACCAGATGCTCCGGTCAAGGTGACCGGACACACCGATCAGTGTAATATCGTCAGCGTGTTAGAAAGAGCCGTTTGCTCTGACCGGACTCTGGCCTGTGTCCGGTCAGCACCCACCGGACACGTCCGGTCATCAAAAACCCTCTCTGAAACCTTACTATTGTTGACCGGACGCTGGCACCTAGAGTTTGGTCATTTGTCTGTTCAGCGTCTAGTCCGTGGTCAACAATCATGTCCATGCTGCTATAGATACGGCTAGCGTCGCGTCTAGTGAGCACTGGTGTCCAGAGTCCGGTCACACTGACTGCTGCGTTGCCGATCAAATGAACTGACCGGAACTCTATAAGCTGCGTCCGATCACAACCAAACCAACATCCGGTCAGTCATTTGACTCTCCATTTACTTCCAATTCGAAATTCTTTGTGAATGAAGTTGACTTCTATCGATCTTAGGGTTATTTCTGAGCTACTTAGTGCTAAGTTTGATAAGTGTGCACCACATATAATCCATTAGACTCACCTAGGTTAAGATACTAGTCCATACCCCCCTTAATAGTATGACCAAAGAAAAAATAATGTCCTAAACTATTCTAAGTGTCTCTCCAACATCAAACGACACTTAGAACTAGTCCATCCTTAACATTATCGTCCATCCTTTGAAAACCAAAATGATTTCTATCGACAGGGGCATGACAACCATGATTGCTCAATCAATTTCCATTACTATGACATAACTCAAACTGACTCTGCAAAATACGCGTTAGTCATAGTAATCTCGTGTCGTCATTAATCATCGAAACTCAACTGGGGCCTAGATGCTTTCATTTGGGACTTAGAAAGAATTCCTAAAAGAGCCAAGACAGTTGGCTGTAAATGGGTCTACAAAACCAAATATTACTCCAAAGGGAATATAGAAAGATTCAAAGCGCGACTTGTGGTGAAAGGCTTCACACAAAGAGGAGTATAGATTATAATGAGACATTTTCTCCAGTCTCATATAAGGATTCTTTAGAATCATAATGACGCTTGTAGCACATTACGATTCAGAATTATATCAGATGGATGTAAAGACGACGTTCCTAAACGGGGATCTAGAGGAAAATATTTACATGGCACAACCGAAAGGTTTTGTTGTGGAAGGAAAAGAACGTATGTGATGCGGCCTGAAAAATCCATTTATGGACTAAAACAAGCTTCAAGACAGTGGTATTTGAAGTTTGATAGTACAATAAGAAAGTTTGGGTTTAAGAAAATATAGAGGACAATTGCGTTTATGCAAAGTTCAAGAATGGGAAATATATTTTTCTAGTCTTATATGTGGATGACATCTTGCTTGCTAGTAGTGATGTTAATCTACTACTAGAAACAAAGAAGTTCTTGTCCTCGAAATTTGATATGAAGGTTCTCGGTGAAGATTCGTTCGTCCTAGGAATAGAGATTCATCGAGATAGAGAAAGGGGTTTTAGGATTATCACAAAAGACATACTTAGAAAAAGTTCTAAAGAAATACAGTATGCAAAATTATAAGTCTTCACCTGCTCCCATAGTCAAGGGCGATAGATATGGAGAATTTCAATGTCCTAGAAACCAATATGAGATCGATCAAATGAAAGCGGTTCCATATAGTTCAGCTGTCGAAAGTTTACAGTATGCTTAAGTGTGTACTCGTCCTGACTTATCAGTTGTTACTAGGTTACTTGACAGATATCAGAGTAATCCAAGAATAAAACACTGGAAATTAGTAAAGAAAGTTTTGCGTTACCTGCAAGGTACGAAGGGTCTCATGCTAACATACAGAAGATCTGATTCTCTACATATAGAGAGGTATACAGATTCTGATTATACCGGAGATGACAGAAAGTCCATATCAGAATACATGTTCACTCTCGCAGGAGGAGCTATATCATGGAAAAGCTCAAAGCGAACCGTCACTACATCGTCCACAATGTATGCCAAGTTTGTAGCATGTTATGAGGCCACAGGGCAGGTGAATTGGCTGAAGAAATTCATGCCGGGTTAAAAGTGGTAGACGACATACATAAACCACTCACGTTATACTGCGATAATAATCCAACAGTATATTCTGCTCATAACAATAAATTAAATGGTGCTACCAAACATATTGACATAAAATATTATGTTTTGAAAGACAGTCCGGAATCATATAATTAGTCTTGAGCATATAAGAACAGAAAAGATGCTCATGGATCCGCTTACAAAAAGCTTACCACCCAGCGTGTTCAGAGAACACTTAGCCGGCATGAGTTTAAGGGAAAGCCTATGATTTCTGAACAATAAGGGACTAGTTGAGAATTTATTTCAAAACAGAGATGTGCATTATAGCTGTTTAATCTAATGGCAACATACAATGACGATGAGGCACACTCTATGCTCTAATCCGTGATGGAATAGGAACAAAATAAAGCAAGTAAATTAAGTTTAAGTCATGAGATGAGATAAGAGGGAGAATGTTAGATTGATTCCATCAGTTTAGTTCAACGACTAATTGAGTCTTAATCCGCAACCTAATTGGAGACGCTCGACCTTAACTATGGTCGGTGGTCCCCGAATCTAACACCTGGGAACCGAACTTCTGAACCATCCCAAGCAGCTGCAGCGCCCAACTGTGCTGTCCAAGGGCACCACAAGACTTCATGGCATAAGCGAATGTGAATGCATTTGGCAACGAATCACCACTTCGGTGCATGGACACAAAGCTTTCCAAAGAAGCCAAGTACTGTCGGCTCTGAAAGTACCCGGACATGAGCGTGTTCCACGAGGCCACGTCTCTCGCCGGCATTCTACCGAACAGCTCCACGGCATCGCTCAGTCGGCCGAGCTTGACGTACCCATTCAGCATGACGTTGTGGGTGATGACGTTGGGGTGGGCGATGTCCGTCAGAAGCAGGCGGCGGGCGTCGGAGAGGGCTCCGCAAGAGAGGTAGGCGTGGAGGAGTGTGTTCTGTAGGAAGACGGCGGACGCGAGGCCCACGGCGACGAGGCGGCCGTGCAGCGCGCGGGCGCCGGTGAGCGCGCCGCGCGCACCGCACGAACGCAGTGCGTCGGCAAACGCCTGCGTGACCGGGGAGGCAACCGCCGGAGGAGGAGGAGGAGGAGGCGGTGGCGGCCATGGGGACGCCACCATTCAAACGATTGCGGCCTTGCGGTATGCTGCTGAGTGCAAAATCGCATGGTCCAATTCGGCCCATGAAGTTTGGTTGCGGGTTGCCGGGTTGGAGAGAGCACTAGCGCAAAATGAAATTACGGCCCTGGTTTGAAGTTTGGTTGCGGGTTGCCGGGTTGGAGAGAGCACTAGCACAAAATTACGCCATCTCAAAATGAAAGCGTAAAATTGATGTTAACGTGTCGTACTGTCTTCCTTGTCTCTCGTACTCGCGCGTGGAGTCTCCGAACTTCCCATTCGGCAGCGAGCAAACCAAAGCCGGGGAACTTCTGATCCGGTGTTAGGGTACAGTGGGTTGGCGCGAGGCCATGGAGGGATCCCTGGAGGCGCGGCCCGGTGTCCTCCTCGTCGGCGCCCCGGGCGTCGGCAAGCGAACCATCCTCTCCCGTGAGATCTCGCTGTCCTCCTTTCCTTATGTTTGGGTTTTCTTCTCCCGATTTGAATGCGAAACATCGAGCGGATAGAGTAGCTGAACTATTTAGGATTTCAATCCGACGTGTTCGCGTCGTGAGCAGGAGGAGAAGATCTCGTGGTCCATCTGTGATTTGATTTTTGATGAATGGACAAAGTAAAAAGGGTATTGATATGGAGTAGATAGAGAAGAGAAGACACAAGATGACAAGCTTGTACTGTTTTAGCTGACAAATTAACGCTTCTAGTTTCAACCATTACCTTGATAATTGATGAATTCGCTGGGCGGTGGAGCAGATATTTAAGTTTACATGCTTTGCTAAAATAAGAAATTATCTGATATTGCAAAATTTGCTATTTACTGGTGCTTGTGCTTATTATTTCCTGACCATTTTCATTTCACCATGAACTTCAGGGTTGCTTGCAGCGGAAATACCTGGCGTGCATGACTTATCATCCGGTGTGCTGTGTCAGGGGTATGTAATAGCATCTTGTCAAATTACTTTTTTGTCTGTGAGAAATGTCAAATACTCCTACTTATATAGAAGTAGAAAGCATTGTTTTCAGTTAAATCTTCTAATGCATGATATAATTTATTTTGCTACTGATTGCCATGCAGGTGGACAATTGAAACAAAGTATTATTCAGCTGATCTTTCCATCTGGACAGCAAATCTTGGTGAAGAATTTTCTCTTGGTTCCCTCCCTCATCTAGACCGGGTGGCTGCTCTCGTTATGGTCTTTGATATGAATGATGTCCGTATTGAACCTGTGTTCTCATTCAACCTTTATTGTGCTTTCTGTCTTAGCGTTTAAAGATTCTGAACCTTATAATTTTCAGAGTTCAATTTTTTTTATCCTCAGTGCTACAGTAGGGTAACAGCCTTAACTAATTATGCAGGAATCCACCTTGCTTACTCTGCAAAGCTGGGCTGCCAATGTTGATATCCAGAGGTTTGAGGTCTTGTTATGCATTGGAAATAAAGCAGATATTGTACCTGGTCATAGCGCACATATAGAAAATAGGAGGCGTATGCAAAAGCTTGGGGAGTCAAGTTCTGATCCACACCCTGATTATTTCGATTTTGGGATAAATGAAAGTGAGGGTTGTAGCTTGTTATCTGAGGAAGAGCCATGCATAGAGATCAGAAACTCTACTGCACAGTGGTGCATTGAGCAGAACATAGAATATATTGAGGCCTGTGCTTCCAATGCTGACTTTGATAAGTGTAAGTTGTCTCCTCGGTTGTAAACCTGTAACTGTTAAGTTTTTTCTCCTCAAGTTTCTACACTTTTTGCCATTAGGCTTTTCTTATTTCCAGTAATCAATCTATTACCATGAGCTCTAAATTGAGCATCAGTTAATTATTTTATACCCAATGAAAACTTATATCTTTTATGGACTCCAATAGAAGAAGGATTATATCCTATAGGAGCCGTGGTTGTTTCTATCTTAATTGATGTTTATTCAAACTAACAGGTCTATCAGTGGATGGTGATAGCCAAGGCTTAGAGCGACTCTTTGGAGCTCTTTCTGCACATATGTGGCCTGGAATGATTCTGAAATCTGGAAACAGAATAACTGTCCCATCCTTGGTTGAAAAAGAAGGTAGTTAAATGCCATAAATGAGTAAATTGGCACTGATGATTGTTGATCTGTGCCTTGCTTATTCCGAACTATTGAAGAACTATGGGACGGCATGGCATGCTTAGAAAGTTTCTCTATTAAGTAATTTCAGCTGTTAGAATTTGCTGTCCCTCTTTTACATAAAATATCTTGTGAAATCTTTGCACCAGTAAACTACTTTAAATTATTGAATTTAAAATAATGCATTACATGTCCTTGATTATTCATTTTTCTGACAGAATCTACGGATGATGAATCCAACTATGATTTTGAGTATGAGGTCCTGTCTCATGGATCTGATGACCAGTGGGAATTTGTTGGCGAGACAAGTACATCCAGAAGCTTTGAGAGATCAAATGAGGTTGATGGTACGCAGGATCACACACATCAAGTGGTGAAGGCTGGTATTGACTCTTCAGCATCCAACCCTCTCCCGAGTAACACGCCCACAGAAACTGCTGAAGAGAATACTGTAACTTGGAGCAACAAAACCGACAATAGCGATCATGTGGACACGACCACAGCATATAGCACTGAGGATGATCAAAGTGATCTTCCAGAGGCTAACGATCTTTTTGAGGACGAGCATTATGGTCTGGATGACCTGGAGAAAATCATGTCAGAGATTGGTAACATGCGATCCAACCTAAGGCTCATGCCTGACTTCCAAAGGAGGGAGATGGCTGCAAAGCTAGCCATGAAAATGGCAGCCACGTTTGGTGATGATGATGAAGAGGCATTTGAGGATATCAAGGCAATTCATGTAGTTCCACCTTACTGCTGACTCCCAGACAGGGTTGCAGATGATGGAAAGATGGTTTTGTAAGCCGATGAGCCTCTCGCCACCTAGGGCCTTTCTCATGATAATGTCTTTTTTTTTAGTGAAAATTTTGTGCCTGTTGGGTGTTCTAGCCTTGTAAGATGTATTATTATGAACTTTAACTCCCTTGAATCCTCCAGGGGAAAACTTTCTGGACTATGTTATGGTGCAATAGGAAAATGATGGTATTGTAGAACCACAAACAAAAAAGATAACTTCAGCGGATGAAAAAAAGTGCATAGTTTGCATCTTAAATACCTCTGAAATACGTCAGGCGGGGTGCACTACATCCAGTGAATAAGGAGTACTTGTATTGCTTATTATGCACCGAGCACTCCGTTCGATGTCAAGTACAGGAGATGAAATGTGTGTTTGTGTGTGTCTGTCTTTGTCCCAAGTTCGAGTCTCAGGCTCCGGGTATGGTTACAAACAGGCAACCCCTGAGAATCAACGATAGTGTTGCTTAGCTATTTAGAATCACATCCGACTGATGGGTTCACTATTAAGACAAATGTGATTCCTGTGCTGGAACCTGGAATTGTCCCCTGCTTTAGTCGAATCCGTGCAAATGGCAGTGCAACGCAGCACACCGATTAACTTCAGTCGTGTTTATCCTCGGCCAATCGGCCCAGCCTACCCTAGTCCATAGGAGCAACACGTTATGGCCTGGTGAAGCTACCCAGTACCCATGTACTCGTCAGAATTTCCTCAAAAAAAAAAAGTACTCGTCAGAATAAATATCCATTCACAACACGTCAAGCGACTTCCATATTAACTGCTCACTATGTAAACCGGTAAGCCCACTGTTCCAAAACTTCTCTATCTACAGCCACAGCCTAAAAGCTGATAACACTACGCAACCAAGCAAATATCATCAAAGAGCTGAAGTACACAAATTTTATTGCCCTTCTGGCTCATTTGATTGTAAACCTCCATCAGAGCTATGTTTACCAGACTCAATAGCCAGTTGTCTATCTTGGTTCTCAAACTCTGATCTCTGAAGATTTTCAGATGGCTTGCCTGATAATCTCGTCGGTCTCTCATTACGCTGCATACTCCTTGGATCCGAAGGGAGTTTGGAAACCTGCAAAGCATCGTTGGGATTCAGAATCAATATTGTGGAAGGCTGGTGATTAACAAAAGTACACAATGTGGTTGGTCCTTTTGTCAGACTAGGCTTGGAGCTTTATCAATATATAATCAATTTTGATTTGACAGAAGGGAGGATCTAATAGATATATTGTTGTCATTTTAAATGTCAAGAAGATCATGTTCATCGGCAAAGTACTCACATCATTTGAAGCCTCTAGCCTTGCCTGCAAAGCTTCATGCTCAGCCTTAACACGGGATGGGACGCCATCCTTTTGATAGACATTCTGTTTGGCAGTCTCCTCATCTACTTCACTTGAAGCAGCAGCAAAAGGATGGTTTGCTGGAATCCATCTAACTGTATCTGGATCGACATCTGGAGGTAAGGAATCACCTTCCCTGAGAAACACGGTTGGCCTTTTCCACTGATATGCACGTGATCTCCTCTTTTGATGCATTTCTTGTTGCTCTTTCGTAAGCCTAACAGGAGCCAAACGGTACTCCTTGCCAAACATTTGTGCAGTAGATGTACCCTCATCAATCTTGACTAATGGATTATTGAAAGGATCATCGTATGTGTGGAGCTTTGCACTGCAGGAAGGAATTACTTCAGTCATGATTATTGCACAATTCAAAGGTTATAAGTTCACAGAAAAGCTTCATTTAACCATTTATATCTGCATTGAAACGAACCCTGTAATTAGTTTCTGAAAGTTGAATTCCTGTGCCCATACCAGGAAACAGACAACATGCGAAAACTATGGGTCTATGGCGAGGCTTTGCAATGGCATGGAACAAGTAACTAGGGACAGTAACTCCTCACAAGCATAAGCACAATGATAAGATCACTTAACAGAAAATTAATTAGTATAAAATGTGACATGACCAAGTCACGTAGACAAGTTTCAAGTCTTATGTTAAAACATGATCATTAAAACAGAAGCTATAGTCCAAACGATAATCAAGCATCCATAAACCCAGCAATACATCAATGAGAATACAAAATGCAACTTCAAGGAAATGAAGGAATTAGTGACGTACGTCCCTCGTTGCCCTGATTTTAATTGTCCACGCCTTACTAGATCAGCAACAGAACCTCTATTATCATGCTCTCGATTTCTTATGATGACCTGTCTTGCAGCAGCAGCCAAAAGTGCAATGCCAACACAGAAACCAGCAACAAAATTTGGGCCAATGTTTTTCTGGATCTGCATGAAAAGAGAAAGTAAGAATATGAAGTACACAGCATAGCACTGGTACAACTCAAGGATGAACATGTTAAAGAAGAAAAGGTAATTGTTCTTATACTAAAAAAGAAAAGGAAGGCACGCAATAAAAGAAATAAATTGCCTTCATTGTTTAAAACCAGTTCCCTGATGTACTGAAAATTGTTGATGACCTTAAAGGTTTGGTGGATGAAGATCACAGACAAAGAAATAAGGGGTGTCTAACCACAGATGATAGTATTCTGCACCCCATGTCTTCAGAATATCTATAATCTATGCAGCCAAGAGTTTCGTACCACTGTGTACTAATCAATTCAAAAGACTGTCCGTCCAAATTAATATCAATTTGCCACTTGGTTGTTCAGATATGATCATAGGGAACACAACTGTGTTTTGCTTTTGCTCTCGTTCAAAAACCTCCCTCGCACTCGTCGCAATTTATCTACTAATATATTGTATCCCTTCTCTCCACAGCAATTGCCATCTCGTGCTGACACTAACCAATCCCGCAATCCAAATGTACAAAAACGAAATACCCAGAGAGGGAGAGGTAATTACCGAAGCAACAGCAGGAGGCACGGAGGCGATGAGCGCCCTCAGATCTCCCACCCTGCTCTCCAGAGCCCCCAGCTTCCGCTCCCCGCCTGCGACGTCACTGGCGTTGCTCGACGCCGAAGCCCTAATCAGCCGCGGCCACCTCACCGCCCTCCTCCCGCGGAACAGCCGCGGAGGGAGGAGGAGACGGAAGGGAAGGGAGGCGGCGACGGAGGCGGTCGCCATTGTCGCCCTCGCATGGATGGAGAAGCAGAAGCTAACCAAGGTCAGGAGGCTTTGGGGCTGGGACTCGCTGTGCTCAAGGCCCGAGGTTAGGGATGGAGGGAGACGGAGGCCGCCATGGCAACAGATTGGAGGCGTTCACTTTCACTGCCCTGTCCAGTGAACGTCACATATCGGGCCAGAGTGCCGAGCGAGCTCGAGAAAGCCCATGGGCCTCCATGCCTTATTAGCTCCTTTGTATATAGATCAAGTTTTCAGCTACAACTTCTGGGCTTCTTAGACAAACTGGCACTGGTTATGCCAATTTGTATATAATACTATTCGATAATGCTGTGGGTAGGGTGTCATTTTCGTCCGGACACGTGTTGGTGGGTCTCGACGTCCGAATCGGCCCAACAGGCAACATTGCCATCCGCATGGAAATATAAAATAAAAAATTGTGACTCTCATTGTCGGGTTCATAAACCCGGGGTCCCCAATGGACCCGCTTTCCCTGTAATACTTGGCCCAGCAGGCGGCGCAACGACAGCGCGCGTCTGGACCGGCCCAGATACACAATGACAGGCCGAGACCACGATCCGGTCCCCGGCCAAGCACCTCCGCAGAGAGACTGGTCGGAGCCCCACCGAAGGCTCGCCAGTGGTGGGACCCATGATCCGACTCGACCCCGCTTTCTCCGACCGAGGATATCTGGGACATTTGCTCGCCTCTCTTTCCCGGCCCGAAACGGTCGGGGGCATTGACCTGAAACGATCGACCGGACGCCGCCGCTTTCGGTGTGGGCACGGGAGCAGCGGCGGAGGAGATAAGGTAAGACGCTCAAGTCAACCGCAATACCGAGGACTGTACCCTGCCATTCCCTGCGTACCTGTAGGACGGTGCCATCAGGCCATGTCAGACGGACACTATACAGCCTGCCAGACGCGTTAGAGCACAAACAGTATTGTGGGCGCCGTCGTTTGCCGTCCTAGGTGAACAAACTATGCAGCCTACCAGGTACAGCAGGTCTTGAACAGTAAGGTGGGCGATGGCATGCCGTACCCGACGCCGTGGGTGACAAGACTAGGTAACACCCGTACACACTCTCTCCCTTTCCGTCTTTGACTTGTAAGGCCATCCCCTTCATCTATAAAAGGGGATGCGCTCTCTCTAAAAGGATAGAGTCTACACGCTCTCAACAGCGGATAAGCTTGAACACACAGAGCATACGCTCTAATACTTAGCACACGTTTGAGCATCCGTCACTCTCTTCCACTCGGATCAGAGTTCGACCGGGCCTCTAACACCCCCTTATCATTCCTTACTCGTTTGTAACCCCACAGCAAACTTCGAGCATCTGGGCTCAGGAATAAAGTCACCAACCGACTAAAACTGGATGTAGGGCACGTTGCCTAAACCGGTATACATCGCGTGCTAGGCCACATCCGATCACAACGCATGACAAAACTACAAATATTTACTTATCGGCCACATTTCGCACCGACACTCATCTTCTTCTCGATTCACCGATCTTCCCCATCCATTATTGAACCAATTCTCGCATCGCATCGCCGCGACTTGCTCCACCGCGACCGCGCTGCCGCGCCAAGACGCCCCCCATCGCCATAATGCATGTGCTTTTGCATAATGCCGCTACCGCTTGTCTCCCCATCGCCACTAACCACTCGCCCCCCGAGTTCTTCGAGCGACGCGGTGTGGGCCACGACGACTGCTCTGGCGTGGTGTTCTTCACCACGCCCATCGCTTGCCTGCCGCCATTCTCCCTCTCCACTACAGCCGAGCGTCGCTTGTTGGCTATCGCAGTTCCTCACCGATTAGGCCATAGCGGCCCGACAACTCCATGTTTTTGTTTCAATGTGTTTCAGAAGTTGTTTTCAAGTGTTTCATCTGTATGTTGCGTATATTACAATGGTTATATATGTATGTTGCAAGTATATGTTTTAAGCATTTCTCGTTGTTTTATATGTATGTTTCACACGTTTCATCTGTATGTTTAATGTGTTTCATCTAAATGTTTCATGTGTTTTTATCTTGATGTTGCAAAAGGATCTAATATTGCATATGTTGCAATGGTTACACACAAATGTTTCAAGTGTATGTTTCACATGTTTCATCTGTTTTAGACGTATGTTGCAAATGTATGTTCCAAATGTTTCAGCTGTTTCAGGCGCATATTTTATGTGTTTCATCTAGATATTGCAATGACTATATAAGTATGTTTTAATAGTATACTGCATATGTTGTAACGGTCGGGTGGATGTTGCAAAGCAGATGAGACGTTAGGATGGGGAAGGGGCGCGGTCGAGACAAAGCACGGCGGAGGACGAGGGCGCGGTGGGGATGGCGCCGCAGCGGGGGAGGAGCGCGGCGTGGCAGGGGAAGGAGCGTGGCGGGCTTGACGCCGGGGCGCAATTGGGATGGGGATCGAGTCGCGGATGGTCGGGACGCGGTCATTGGCGCGGGATCGGTCGCAGGCGTCTAGACGTGATTCGCTGGTGCGGGATCTGATGCAATCGAGGGGGCGTCCAATGCGAAGCGGTTGCAGACGTCGGAGCTACGTCTAGACGCGGGCCTAGGGCCAGACGTCTGGGCGCTTGCCCTGCCCAATACTGTTTCAAAAAAAAAATTCTATCTAGTACTGTAGAGTAGAAGACAGCTTCTGCCGGTTACCAATTGACTGCAGTCATGCAACTGCAAGATGATACGTAACCTAGTAAGATTTTGATCGTCCCTTTCCTCGGCTGTGTTTTCACGACAACTCAGCTCGTAGTTTACCGTTTGACCAATCTAAAGCCATTGGCGCTTTTGGTTTGCAGGACCAAACGGTCTCTGAGTGATCTAAACCTATGTCTGAACCTATGTAACTGTTTGATTTAAGTCATGGATGGAATAACCTCATTCGTCATTTGTTCATTCTCTATAGCAATAATTACAGGCTAAGATGCACAACTGTTTAGTTCCGTGAAAATTCGCCGGGTCAACAGATGTCGAACCAACCCATGTCGTATGGAGCCAACCATTAAACCAAACACGCTGTACGGCTCCGATGACTTTGTATGTATAATAGTCTATGCGATGACTTTACTGTACTACTAGATGCTAACAACCTCCCAGTTTTACAACATATATAAGCCGTTTGCATAGTCAATGTTCAGGAGAAGTTTGCGTAGTCAAAGTTTCTTCCGGGCTTCTGGCGTTGGGTTGCATTGCTGTGAAGTTTCTGCCACGCAAAAGTCTAAATATTCCTGCTCATTTCAGTTCCACAATGCCAAGCTACACGGTTCAATGCACACATGTTTCCTGACGATGGGCTACGGAACTAAGACTTCTACGTGTTCGCCGCGATTTTGTGGCCCCAAATCATCAAGTACTTACACGAGGCATAGCCCAAAGAATTAGAGAGAGAGAGAGAGATTCGTTAATAAAAAAGAGTTAGAGAGAGATTGCCGGAAACAGTAGCCATGGCGTCCCCGTTCTATACTGGCATCAGGCGGCGCTTCGCTCTGCTCGTTTCTGCAACTCTGATCCTCTTCGGCACCTGCAGCTGCTTGCAGTTCAGCTACCCCTCCTTCGGCACCGCCAATGAGGCCGATTTCAGCTTCAGCGCCGGCGCCGGCATCGCAGACGGAGCCCTGCAGATCACGCCGAGCACCGGAGACCTGAGCCACCGGTCGGGGAGAGTCTGCTACGCGCGGGAAACCCTCAAGCTGTGGAATCGCAAGCGGACGGCGCTGACGTCCTTCAGGACGGAGTTCGTGCTCAACATCCTCCCGCGGAACGGGACCGGAGAAGGTATGGCATTCATCCTCACAAACAACCCGGAGCTGCCCCGCAACAGCAGCGGCCAGTGGCTGGGGCTAGTGAACAGCCAGACGGACGGGTCGCCGGCGAACCGGATCGTGGCCGTGGAGTTCGACACGAGGAAGAGCGGCGAGCACGACCACGACGACAACCACGTCGGCCTCGACGTCAACAGCGTCGAGTCTGCCAGCGCGTATCCTCTCAGCAACCTCTCCATCGTGCTGTCAAGCGGCGCTGATGTATGGGTCACCATAGAGTACGACGGCGCAGCGCTGAGCATAGTCGCGGTGCAGACGTACAGCTTCATGTATTCTTGGGCCGGTGACCTGTCGCAGTATCTGACGGACGGCATCACCGTCGGCTTCGCGGCTTCGACCGGCGACTTCACCGAGCTGAATCAGATCAAGTCTTGGAATTTCACCACGCTAGGCGACGATGCAGACGGCAGATGGCGACATAGGAAGAAGATGAGATTGCTTCTCGCCTACCTGATCCCGTTCGCCATCGCCGGATCGTTCCTGGCGTTCTGCGCGTGGAGAAGGCTGACGCGGCCGAGAAGGCTAGCCTACCGCAACCTCGAGAAGATGATCGACGCGCAAGGCCCGGTCAGGTTTAAGTTCAGGGAGTTGAGGAATGCCACGGCCAACTTCAGCTCCGACCGCAAGCTCGGCAGGGGCGGCTTCGGCACCGTGTACCTCGGCTACCTGAAGAGGTTGGGCGCGGAGGTGGCCGTGAAGCGGGTGATGACGAGCGGCAACTCCAATCGCGGGGAGCAGGAGTTCGTGGCGGAGGTGAACTCGATCAGCAAGCTGTCGCAGCGCAACCTCGTGAAGCTCTTGGGGTGGTGCCACGAGAGAGGCGAGCTGCTGCTCGTCTACGAGTACTTCCCCATGGGCAGCCTGGACAGGCACCTGTACGCCGCCGATGCCAGCAGAGCAAATAACGCGTCGGCGTCGCCGTCGGAGACGACGTCGTCAGCGACGCCAGAGCTGCTGACGTGGGAGCGGCGGTACAGGATCATCCGCGGCGTGGCGTCGGCGCTGGAGTACCTGCACCACGGGAGCAGCAAGCGGATCCTCCACCGTGACGTGAAGGCCAGCAACGTGATGCTGGACGGCGAGTACGAGGCGCGGCTGGGCGACTTCGGCCTGGCCCGCGTCATCCAGCGCGACGGCGCGACGCACCACTCGACACAGGCGGTG